AAGTTAGAGGCTTTCCAATTCAGAGTATAGGGACTGAATTTTACTTTCGCGATCTCTCTTTCTGCGGGATGCTAGACGTATAATCTCACTAGGGAGTGTTGCCTTGTGGGCTTCCCACAGTGAGACAGGTGAGGTCACTGATCCCCCATTCTCCGAAAAGTACTGGAGAAGGCAGCCTCGAACAAGTGTAGCAGAGTCGGCGAATGTGAGCAGCGAGTCGTTCAGGCGTCAAATGTAAGAAGTCGGGCAGGCGGATAGTGACACGCAGTCGAGGAGAAGTGGGGAGTGATCCGACCAGGGAACAGAAAGTATTTTGGCTGAGTTAATTCTAGGGAGGAAGGACTGAGAGGTGAATACGTGGTCAATGCGGGAGAAACTGTCATGAGGGTTTGAATAGAACGTAAAGTCCTTGGTAGTGGGGTTCTTTTCCCTCCAACAGTCTATTAGGGCATGTTCTGACAGGAGAGAATTAAAGAGTCCAATTTCACTATGGTTTGGGGGTAGGGATGTAGCTCTGGATCCCGATGAGCGTCTATCTAACCTGTGGTTAAGGACTAGGTTGGAGTCTCCCATCACCAACAGGGTGCCCACCTTATGCCTCTCGACCACTCCCAGGAGACGTGTGAAGAAGCAAGATTGTCTCGAGTTTGGGGCATAATAAGAGACTATTGTGATGTCCATATCCATGAGTTTGCACAGTAGTATCAGATATCTGCCCGTTAGGTCAGCTATTTCTCTAGTGCAAGTGAAGGGTGTGGTTCGGTGGAAGGCCAGGAGAACACCCCTCTTCTTTTCCCGAAACGTGGCGTGGTATACCTGCGGATAGGCTATGTGTAGGAATTTAGGTTTTGAGGTGTCAGAGAATTTGGTTTATTGTAACTCCACAATGTGTATTTTGCGGGACGCGTAGTAGCTAAAGGCTTTCCTACGCTTAGAAGGTGAATTTAGACCCTGGACATCATGGGTCAGGATCTTATAAGAAGACATCATGGTAGGGTAGGGTCTGGCCAGTTATCCTGGCGGAGGTCCAGCTGGGATAGTGTAGAGTAGGCTTGACTGGTGGACTCATGATTCCACTGCCACTGGAGCAAGGGGTATGGTGGAGGGTGAAAGTGAGGAGAGAGAAGAAAAAGAAGAAGACAAACAATAAATGTATGAACTGTGTTCAAACTTCCGTAGAAGTTTTCACGCGTAACACTCAATAGCATTACAAATGGTGGGGGCACCCAAAGCTCCCGGACACGAACTAGATAATAGATATATAAACATAACTTAATATGTAAGAGCACCGGACAGAGGCATCAACACCTTTGTTACCACAAACTGATGGGGCGGGTCACCTGGTGGAGAGGGGGAGGGAGAAGTGGGGGGGAGAGGGCTACGACTTGACCCGTGTTTTATATTTTACCAAAAAATTGGGTAATAATAAATGTATTATAGCATAATGTAAAAATAAAAACATTTTTTCATTTTAGTAATTTTTCCTTAATATAGTAAAAAATATGATTATATACCAAAAGAAAGCTCTATCTGTCCACAAAAATAGTATAAAATCTAAGGCAAATAGTACAAAGGGGGTCAGGTAACAACTTGTTGCTCGATCAGGCAACAAGTGAGCTGAAGATTTAAGACTGAGGTTCAGCATGGATTGGCAGGGAGCCAAGCACCTGGAACAGGAGGCAAAACCCGGCACCGGATCATGACACAGGGAAGTTTTACAGGTGATAAACAAAAAGCTATTTTGTGCTGTAGTTGTACCTTTATAGATGTCAGTGAGATGGAACTTGTAAATTTGTGTAGTTATGTGATAATTACTCTGCCCATTTACTAGAGTATCTACTGACCTGTTATTCAGCATATGTTTTGCCATTTTTTTAAAAATATGACTGGTGTGCTCTCTGCACTGTGGGATGAGGTCATCAAGTTTTGTCTGGGGATTGCAAGTGTTCTTGTGTAAGCCTGCGAGAGAGGCACATGGACAGAGACAGAGAACAATTGATGTCTATTTACAGATCACAGATTGTAAGTTACTGCAGTATCCCTTCACTGAGACATGCTATAAGGCCGTTTTAATGTCCCCGTTTTTCAGAATACCTTAAGTGTGATATTTCACTGGATATTACTTATTCAATATATGGACTTTCAAATACTATACCGTGTAAATTCCTGTTATTTCTGGCTGATAGATTTCTCAATTGGGATTACTCTTGGTATCCACAAGCCCCAATTGAGTGGAAGCACTAGTGCTTACTAGAGATTATATCCTGTTTTCACAGGTATAGAGAAGGCTCTGTTCTTTAATACCACACATGTGGCGCCACAACCCACCAGTAGCCTGCAGAGAATGTAAAAATAGGGCTACATTTGGAGGCACTGCTGAGATTATATTGGATCAGGACATACTAGACAATACTCAAAAACTACCATGTCACTGTTATCTACAGAAGCTTTGAGGCCGTGGGCCCAAGAACAGGGACTGCCATCTAAAAGGACATTTGCTATATTGTGTGTACCTATCACTGTGAGCACCCATAGACTGCAAGACGGGCTAAAAGCTCATGAAACCTTGCAGTATGCAATTCTTGTGAATAAAAGAGAAGATGATGAGAATTACTGTTATGTCCAGATATACAGCACAACATGGCTCTCTGCTGTCTTCTTGTGTTCCCTTGCCACTGTATCCCTCTCTATCCTGTACTGCTGTGTATGTGTGTACAGGCCTTCCCTGTCTGCCTTGCATCCAGAGCCCTGGTGCTGCATCAGTTCCTGAGTCTGTGCGGGGGCATTACAGGGCCACAACCTGGAAGATGTCCATCAGCCAATCATCCTCACCATTAGAGGCGCCCTTGAAAGACCCGGCTCTTCTTAGATTCGGTGCCTCTAGTGCACTCCAGCTTGCTACTCTAAACCTGCACCACAAAACCCGGAGCTCTTGTGCACCAGTCCCCCGGTTCCCAGACCGTGACATCACCATCACAAAACAGACATTCTATGCCGAGTATGGCAGGCTTGTAAGGCCAACTAGCGTTCACTGGACTATAAGATGCATTCAGAAGCACATTACAGATGCACAGGGGCACAAGAGCTGAGTGCTAAGTGAGATGCTGCATTGTGTAAGCTGTCCAGTCTGGCACCTCTGCATTCCTTCCATTGATAGGAAACAGACGAGGCTTGTACAGAAAAACATGAGGGAGGAGAGGAAGAAGCTGTATTATCTTGAGCATATGCAGCCCAGCTACTTTGCAACCCATCTTTTTGACAAAACAAATATGGGGCAAGTACAGAGAGACAGCACAGGCATGGGGGTAGAAGAGGAGGCTGCATTGTCCAAACTGTGTAGCCCAGCTTTTGTACATTCCTTACAAAGACAGCAGGGGAGTGCTTGCACACAAGGACAGTACAAAAGTCAGGGAGAGGAAGCCTAGCAACAGAGGAGCTCTGCCGCTACCATTAGAATATAGATAATTTTCTTCTGATCTAAAACAAAAAATGAGATTTCATTGGGTCATGTGTGCTGCTTGTAATTCAAGCAGTGTCACAGCGCTGGAATGTTAACATGGCCTGCTGTTTTTTTGCAGCAGCTATAATGTCAACCTGTGAGTCCAGGGGAAGTAAATGGGGTGTTTGCTCCCCATCAATGCATACACACATGCCATGCAAATGTTTATACTCCAAGAGTATACATAGTTGCATAGTTACATAGTATTTGAGGTTGAATAAAGACATTAGTCCATCAAGTCCAACACCTATTAGGATCTCATTCTAGGAGTACCTGCACCCCTGTATATTGCAGTCCCTTAAGAAATCGTCCAAACGTTTCTTGAACAATTCCACATTCTTTGCTGAAATCACCGCCTGTGGCAGTGAGTTCCAGACCCTAACTGATCTTACTGTGAAGAACCCCCTTCACCCCTTGTGCTGGAATTTATTTTCCACCAATTTTAGGTGGTGGCCTCTAGTTTTTGTAATGGAGTTAATTTTAAACAGTTTATCGCTAATGTTGCTAACACCATTGAACATTTTGTACATGGAGATCATATCCCCAAGCTGATTACACTAGCTCAGTCTGAAAAGGTGCCATTTACAGATACCCTCTGGACACGTTCCCGTAGCCAGTTCTCTATCCAAGTACACACCACCTCATCTATGCCCATAGCCCTCAGCTTGTGTAGCAAGCGTTTGTGTGGGACCGTATCAAAAGCCTTTGAGAAATCCAGATATACCATATCTACCAACTTACCTCCGTCCATATCTCTACTTACCCCCTCATAAAAAATTAGCAGCAGCTTATCAAAGTTGGCCCTTCTGAAGTTTAGGGTTCTAGTCCTTCCAGTACACTTCCCTTTTCTGTGTTCAATATTAAAAGTAATCACATTGTGATCACTATTACCCAATGACTCCCCAATTACAATATCCTCGATTAACTCTGCATTATTAGTGACAATTAGATCTAAGATAGCATTTTTTCTGGTAGGAGTCTCCACCATCTGGTCCTTGAAATTGTCACTCAACATGTTTAGAAATCGCCCCGCCTTTGCCGAACCCGAAGTTCTATTGGCCCAATTGATGTCTGGGTAATTGAAGTATGTAAGCATTGTTCTGGGCATTTGTGTATGCTGTGCCTTTATGTAAAGGACTCATTGGAAAATGTAGAAGTAGTGGGGCAGGCTATATCAGTAGGAAATGGGATTGGGTACCATGTGGATTCATCCTCCCAGCTCTTCCAAGTACTGTACAGGATTTTTGCAGTCGGTGTGATGATGTCACAGGGTATAAGAGCTATATGTCATTAGAGGGACAAGGTAAGAAAGGAATAAACACTGTGTGATGGAGGTGCAATGCTAACAACCTTTAAAAAGTTTCACAGTACAATAATACAAAATCTTAATACACAAACCTTACCATTTTTACAAAGTCTCTAATGCTGTGATGCAGCAAAACTGATTTCTACATATGTATCATTAAGAGTTGTTTAGTAATGGAGAACACAAAGAACTTACTGTGGGGAGGATTCGTATCTTACAGGTTACTGGCTTGGAAATTCCATTTACCAACATTTTCAGTATCTGTAGAAAAATTAACAAACATCACCTAAACTGATTTACAGATCACTTAAATGTTTACAACATTTTATCAGAAAAGTTACATATTTTAACCTTCATACCATGCATTGTACTCCAATGAAAAAAAGAAAACCCATATAAATAAATTAACCTAAATAATGTATGCATATGCAAAAGTGCTGTTCATAATGAATTGTGAGCAATAATATAGGACTTCTGTCTAATCTGTAAAATCATTTTCTTGGATTAAATTACAGGACACAGGATGAATGTCTTAGGACATGGGTTATATGCTGCCGCCTTCTGGTGACTGAACACTGGTAAACAAAGCTGTAAGGGCAGCCTTAATAATAACAACCCCTCCCACTCCCAGCAAAGCTAAGCTTTGTAGCAAGCAATAAGGAGTGAATCACAGGAAAACACTGGGGAGGGATATGTGTCCTGTAATGTACTCCAAGAAAAGGATTTTAAAGGTAAGACATGTCTAAAGTGGAGCACTATCTTTTAGACCATAAGCTCAATTCATTGTATAATCCATCTGGCGATAGTGGAACCAGAGACCCTCAGGAATGGCAAAGAGTGAATCTGATTATCTAAAGGAAGCTATAGCTGAGAGGTAAAACTGCACAGCACATACCAATGCCAGACAGTGGAGAGAAATTTCCATAGAATGTTCCTGAGAAGAATATTAAGAGGGGATAACAATGTCCTTGTTAAGGTGGAAGAAAGAAACCACCTTCAGAAAAAAAGGAGGCCTTATGCACCTCAACATAGATTTATCCTAGGAAGGGTTCATTACAATATAAAGTCGCTAACTCACTTTGCAGAGGTGATGGCAGCGAGGAAGGCAACTTTGCAAGTGAGGGTAGATAGGGGAATGTACCTGCTAGGCTCAAAAGGTGGTCTCTGAAGGTCTAACAGCACCAGGTTGATATCCTAAAGTGTCATAGGGGAGCATACAGGGGGAGCAATGTAAGTGAAACATACACACAATTATACTTGAAAAATCATGTGCTGATAAATCTCAAAACAAAACTCCACAAAAAAACTTAGCAGCCAAAACTTAGATGTGAACAACATACTGATACAAATTAACATGAAACAGTGACAGTGTAGCGCTCAATAAAAGTTGCATAGTTGTTAAGGTTGAATAAAGACAGGTCCATCAAGTTCAAACTACAGCATGTGGTTGAGTTACTAAGATTACTTGTATCTCTGTATATCTTGCTCTCCGAGTAAAGTATCTAGACAGGTCTGAAATGATTCCATACAGTCAGCTGACACCACTGTCTGTGGAAGTGAGTTCCACAATTTTTCAGCTCTCACAGTAAAGAATCCCCATTGATGTTTATGATTAAACCTTTTTTTGTTCTATTTTTAGATGGTGGCCTCTTGACTTCTTGAGTAAACTAACACTGAACAGTTCATTACTGATTATCCCATCACCATTAAACAATGTGTACATTAATATAATGTCTCCTCTTTTCAAGCGTGAACAAGTTTAATGCATGCAGTCTTTCCATATAGTATAGGTCCTCTAATCCCTTTATTAGCTTTGTCGCCCTTCTCCGGACTCTCTCCAGCATAAGAACATCCTTTCTGTGGCTTGGTGACCAAAACTGAACTGAATACTCAAGATGTGGCTGAACCAGTGTTTTGTAAATGGGCAGAATTACTTCAAAATAAATTTTCGAAAGTCTGAAGCCCTTACTGTTTCCATACCTGATACCCTCTTAAGGTTAATTCAACCTAACTTGTCCTTCCGTTGGGCAACACAAGCCATTAATTATTTGGGTAAAGATATCACTCCTAAACCTGACCACCTCTTCTTTTTTTTTTGTTATCATATAATTTTTTATTGAAAATGTGTCATTTAAACAAAAAACACAAACAATAAAAAAATAAAATAATTACAACAAATAAACCACAAGGACAAAGAATATGGCCAAAACACATATGCATGAAATCAGATATAAATAAATTTGCATAGAAGTTAACATCACACAACCCACAGCACGGAATTATCATACAAAAATCAGTGTATTAGTAACAATGCACAAACAGACCGCTGCAGCCAGCACCAGCAGGGAGAAGAGACACTTCACAGAACACTTCCCGCCCGCCACGCTGTCACATTTCCGTCCGGAGAGGTCAGAGCGGAGAGGAAGCCTCTGTTTGGTTGTTTGGTAGAAAGGTATTCTGGGGGAGGGGCTATGCGGGTCAATGGTCGAAGCTCTTGAAACAAATTTAAAGGGCCAGTATCTGCTCTATGCATCGGGGCATTTTCAGGAGTACAAGTACTCCTGAAAATGCCCTGTATCGGCCCCGATACTGGTACTAGTATCGGTATCAGGACATCCCTAGTATAAAGTTTAAAATACTTTCCCACATCTCATCTGAAACAGGACCAATATCTTGTGTCCATTTATCTCCAATATGTACTGCAGGTTGTGAAATAAACTGTTTTAGCAGGTGGGAATACAGAAAGGAAATAATTCCTTTCATTAACAACGAGGTAAGGAAAGCATTCAAAACTGGAGTTTGGAGTGTTCATTATTCCAAAGTGGAGAATATCTAGTGCACCCTGAAATGTGCAAGTTACGCTGAACTGTATCCCACAACTTAACAAATAATTTAACTGTGGCCAAGTGGGAAAATGTCTTAGTATACTGATTTAGTTCCAAAGCATGTAAAGGATTGAAACCATGAAACCAATAGGCCAAAGAACGGTATGATTGTCGATGGAGCCTCTCATGTTCCCAACCTGAAAGGTGCTGTAGCTGGGAGACTAGATAATAAAGCCAGGGGTTAGGAAGGGCTACTACCCCCATATCTTTTAGTCTCTGTAATATAGCCTGCCTCAATTTCCAAATTAGATCTCTAAAAATACTATTCATTTGTTAGAAACATTTTTGACTGGTGAGTTGTGGGGAATATACAACAGCTGCGGGATCCACACCATTTTAATGGTTAACTCTTCCCGCAACTGAGAGGGGCAGCTTAAGCCAACTGCCAAGCTGAAGTTTAAACCTTCCCAATAGAGGAATCAGATTAGTAGATGAATATAAATCGAGGCGGGGAGAGATTTGAATAGCCAAATTTGTGATGTTAAAAAAAATCTGTAGATGAGACACATCTTGAGCCAAGGGAGCAGGTAGAAGATCAATGAGTAAAAGACTGGATTTCCCAGTTAACCTTTAAACCTGAACATTTGACAAATTTGGATAGGTGAAGCATCACCCATTGCTTATTGAGTAGCTTGTATCAGCTAAAAAGAGGAGAGTGTCGTCTGCATATAGAGCATTTTTTTCATCTACTAAACCCTGTTTAAAGACAACAATATCAGGAGATGACCTAATCAGGGTGGCCAATGGCTGGATGGCAAGTGCAAATAAAAGTGGAGACAATGATCAGCCCTGTCTAGTTCGCTGTTGAAGTAGGAATTTTGAAAAGGAGTCATTCATTTTTACCATTGCAGAAGGGGTGCAATACAATAGGCAGATCCATCTATAAAACTGAGGTCCTAAACCAAAAATAGACAGAACCGCCCAGAGATAGCAACACTCAATGCTGTCAAAGGCCTTTGATATGTCTAAGGCCAATAAAGATCTGTTGCCTGTGTTATTAATGTGTATTTGCATGTTCATGTAGACTCTACGAATATTAACAGCTGTGGACTTTTTTGGAAGAAAGCCTGATTGATCTGGGTGAATAATGGATGAGAATTTAGATAACCTGTTTGCTAAAATCTTAGCCAGTATTTTAATATCATTGTTAAGAATGATATTAAAATATGTATTGGTCTACACGATTCAAGGAGAAGATCTTTATGTTTTTTGGGCAGAACAATGATGGTAGCTTCATACAGAGATCATGGAAGATACCCCAGTGATAAAGTATCATTAAATGTCTGGAGAAGAGTGGGAAGTGCAGACTGTTTGTATTCCTTGTAAAACTCAATGGAGAGGCCATCTGGGCCAGGGGTCTTTCCATTTGGAAAAATACTAATGTTTTTTTTCTAATTCTTCTTGAGTGATTGGGGCTTCAAGTTCAATACTATCTAAATCAGACAAAACAGGCATTGAGACCAAAGACAGATAGTCCTTGAGTTCACTGTCTGAATAGTTGGCTCTGGATGAATATGATGATTCATAAAAATGAGAAAATGTCTTTAGGATTTGCTGTTTATCAGAATGAATGCAACCAGAACAATCTTTAAGAGCTATTTCAGCCAATAACCGACCATTTGAATCCCCCTCAGCCCAAAATGCTTGTTTGACAAAAAATGACTTGAGGTACTTTTGACTACACTGTAAAAAATGTCTGTCAAATTAAGTGAAATCACAACATCAGAATTTTGTAAACTTAAAAACAATACATTGATGTTTACTTTACAGAAATATTTTGTAAATAATAAAAATACAATTGTAAAAAACAGAACTAAGTACAACTGTTTATTTTACATTAAAATATGTTAAAATAATCATATTTTTGAGTAGAATTTACAGATAACACAGTAGTTTAAATGCAAGAAAACTGTAATACAAAATGCTACACAATACAGTTAAAACTACAAGCTGACAGTGCTAAAAATAGGATTTTTGTACTCACCGTAAAATCCTTTTCTCTTCGTTCATTGAAGGACACAGGGCAACAGATCGTAGATCCTGAATGGTAGGGGTATATCGCCACCTGCAGGAGTAGGACGCTAGGCACATAAGAAGACAAGCCAGCCTAAAGGGCGGCCCCTGCTGGTGGCCCAATCCCTCACTTGCTGACAAGTCTCCAGTAAGTAACAAACAGTTAGGAGTGTACACCCCATAAAATAGGGCTGGACCTGTGTCCTTCAATGAACGAAGAGAAAATTATTTTACGGTGATTACAAAAATCCTATTTTCTCTCCCGTTCATTGAAGGACACAGGGCAACAGATCGTAGATCCTGAATGGTAGGGATGTCACCAAGCAGTAACACACTGAGGGATGGGCAACAACAAACAAAACA